GTATATGCTTGAGTCTCGCTATTGGTATCTCTGAAATATGTAGTTTGTACGTATTGCCTTTTCATTATCTTTTTTTAATACTCTAGAGATAAGCCAAAAGTGCCTTTTTGAAAGGATGTATACGAATTTGTGTGATATGCATTCATGCGCATAATTCCCGAGCCAAATTCATTCATGCGCATGATTCCCGAGCCAAATTCATTCATGCGTATGATTTCCGAGCCAAATTCATAATAACTTTTCTACCAGCTAACTATATGATGGGAAATATGCATTTTCGCATGAATGGATGTGCATTAATGTGTATCGACCCATCTCTTAAGTTACCTACCATTTCATATGACAGAGCAAATCGCTGAGACGGCAAAAATATTGAGAATAGAATGCTCATATGGGCGAAAATTTTTTTGTAATTATTAAAAATAATATTTATAATTAGTTCTATTCAATTATTTATAGACGGCAATTTTATGATTAAAAAATGATCAATTAAATACAATTGTACAATTCAATTTTTAATAATCGGCTAATAAAAAAATTTTATTTTTGAAAATTTCGTACATTTAAACATGGATCGTATACTGGTTAAATAAGATGTGTACATATCTGGGAAGGTAGTTTTTTACACTTACAATTTCGCTTTAAATATGTAAGCATTTGTTGTAAACAATTATAATTTATTAGAGCATTTTTAAATTAACTTATTTCGAAATAAGTGAGAGTTTAAAAAATTAATCGATTTTGAAATAAAAGATCTCTCAATTCGAAATAAATGACACTTACTTTATTCAAAATCAAATGCCGACTGATTAATTTTGAAACCTTTCAAGTTGTAAACGAATATCCCTTGCTGAGACTATAAGTTTCGATTGCATTGTTTTAAGTTAGCATTGTATATGCACGTATTACATATTTCAGGTGACAGAATTAGATGAATTGCATCTCGCTTTTTACATTATACATTACATCAATGACAATATAAATTTATTAAACTATATAATTTGATTAAAGACCAGTCCGGACCCGTCCTAAATTTTGGACCGAAGACTACTTAAACCGGTCCAAAAGACCGGTTTGGACCACGGTCTTTTGGGACTGTAATATCTCTACCTCTATCCTGTTGTCTCATACATATAATTCAGAAGTTATGATAAATGAGGATGTTAAATCTTTGCCAGAAACTGAGGTAAGCATATCTGCTAAATTGATTTCAAAGGAATCAGAAACTATAAATATATTTGATAAGTATAATGAAAACGATGGTGAATTCTCTGATGATAACGATAATGAATTCTCTGATGATAACAATGGAGATTATTGCGGTTTTTCTGACGAAGATGAACTAGGTTATTACTATAATTTAAGTAGCGGGAAAAAAACTTATAAGAATTCTGATTATTTAATCAGTGCATATTAAAAGCATAGATTAATGAAGTTAACTTAATAGTTTCCACTAATTAATAATCACAAACTATATTGTAAAAAATTGCGTAAAAATAAAACATAGGAAGGCCACAGGACTTCCTTCTTTATTTAATAAAATTTTTTTTGCCTAAACAGCATACAAATAAAAAAATATTTATTAATTTTGATCTAGAATATTTAGTGCGTCCCTACAACTTAGACGACTATAGTCATCATTATCTATACAATATTGTGTGTATTCTTTTGAAACATAATAAAAAGGATCACTTTCAAGAAAATCGTCATCTTCGGGATTATAGTCTGGATCATCTAAATTAATAAATTGAGATTCTTTAGCTTATTGTCTTAGCTTCTTAGCTTTAGCAGAATTTTATTGCAAAAGCAATAAGGCTATACCTCTACTTACTATGTCTGTTTATCCTATTATTATGTTGTCGATTGGAACTATGTGTTCTTTGGTTAGTTCTAGGGGCGTTATAATTGTTAGTCTGGGGGTATTAGGATTGTTAGTCGTGGAGGTGGTGGTGTTATTACTCGTAGTAGTAGTGCTATCATTAGTCTTGGGGGTGATGGTATTGTTGGTCTTGGAGGTAGTACTATCATTAGTCTTGGGGTGGTGGTATTGTTGGTCTTGGAGGTGGTACTATCGTTAGCGCTCATTTTTTGTACCTGAATATGAAAAAAATCATAGTAAGTAAAAATTCGTTTTCATAGATTCTGTTAAATGAAATAGCAAAATTACTTTAAAGATAAATTACAGGCAGATAAATCAAGTAAAAATATATATGAGCAAAAAATAATATTATTGCTGACTTATCTTATAGACAGGAACTTGCTTATTTTTATACCGTTCATTCGCTAGATCTAGAGAACTTGCCAGAAGGAAAGTTATATTATTAGTAATTGCAGTAGAGTAACGCAATCTAGATTCCACCATGTAAAGCAACTCTGCTCGGTCATAAGTTCCGTATACTGAAGCTATTTTGTTATTTTTTCTGGTAAAATTAACCCCCTTTAGATTCGACGATCTCTCCTGCAAAGTAAAAAAGTTAATGATCTCGACGATCTGGGAATGCCAAGTTTCTGCGACATATGAATTTTGATAAAACTACTGATAAAGAACGTTATACTCATTGCCCTTATAGCCTTTTTAAGTCCCATTCTTATCACGAGATTGTATAAAATAAGGAAAAAGGGTCTAAATATTATCTGTTATTCATAATATTCATTAATAAAAAAATCGACCATGAGAATTAATTCTGCAGGAGAGTAACACAAACCCTTATATGTACCCAATTTCATGCGACTTATAATACTGTTCGCTTTATTAATGCTAATAGTAATAAATAATTTTTTTTTACAATAATTCTTACGTATTAAAAAGTCATAAACTACACTGTTAAAGTACTGTTGAAGTACTGTTGATAATATCGGTCACATGACTTAACGGTCCCATGGGACTGCGAAATTAAAATTATAACTTACAGTATTATCTATGTATTTGTGTCATATGTGTTATACGTACATTGGTAGAAAAAATCATGTTTGAAGTTTTGAATTTGTGTACGTGGTTATATTAAAATAGCACACATATTTGTATATAAATCATATGTTGATCGAACATCTGATATTTAATATGTAGAATATCGAAAATTCGAAAAAAAATATTGTAGACATACAAATATTTATAGGTTGCCAAGTAAACCACCTCTTGAAAACAAACTATTGTCTAAAAAAAGAGATGTTCACAATCAACACCAAATATAGCGAACTACATAACAATAACCAACTTGAAACATTCCTTGTTACATGCATGAGGCTCAAATAAGTACGTATATAAAATCTTTTTTTTCATTTTTTATTTGAAATTTTTTACCAATCTTTCCTTTCTTATACTAGATAGTTTTTGTATTGATAAGACAGTTGCTAGAGCTATTTGTGCGGGTATGCTTAGTCAAGCAAAAAATTTCGTCTCTAATATTGAACGATAGGGCCTCTGACTATATGTGTTGTGAGGTTTAACATACTCATAATTACCGTTTGGTAGCTCAGTACTTTGGTGAAGGTAGTTGTTTGTTCTACAAAAAAGACACAATCTAGTCGCCCTTAATAATATAGTTTTCTCAGGTGTAGTTATAGCCTTTCGGGGCAGGTCTAGGATCCGACTATTATCTCCCTAAAATTTATTTTTCTTTATATATATATTATAAAACACTTTTTGAGGGCGCGATCGTCAACTATCATTGTTTTGTTGTAAAGAGAGGAAGACCGAATGAGCTTCCCGTAGTTAGTCCACCGAACTACAAGATAAGAAATAGTTTGAATGTATCCACCTCGAAACTTAGATAAACATATAATATTTTCTTTTATCCTAGGCGTGATCGTCATCCTCAATGTGGAGCGTGTATTAGGGGGAAGGTGACGCAGACTTCCTAAACAACTGAACTACACTACAGAGAGAAATTGAATGTATCCACCATAAAAAAATATATATAAACAAAATTTAAGAGACTTGTCTCATTGCTTTGCAATACCTTACCAATGTCTCTATACTACCATCGATGAATAAAGTTATATTCGACCTAAACCGGGTATGTATAGCATTTCAAATTTGTTAATTGGTGTTGAATCACTTTTGTGTTGATAGATCAGCTATCCAGGTTACTTGTTACAGGTATATATAGTTATGCAAAAAATTTCGCTTGAGTCTTCACCTCTCGACGATAGGGCCTCTGACTATGTGTGTTGTGTATTCGAAAGGGCATAATCATCATTGCTGGTAGCTCAGTACTTTGGCTTGAGTGGTTTGTTCGGTCTGCAAAAATACAACAAAAGAACTTAATGGTTTGGTTCACAAAAGCACATTCTAATAATCTATTTTTTCCATATTTGTTTTTATCCGACTATGACAACTAGAGCAAGTGGTAAATCTTCGAATCTTTTTTCAATATGGGCCAGAATTTTTTTTGATATGTTTGTTGAAGCGCTTATACCAAAACCTTTTCGCACATTTTTTCTGTTATTATCAAAATCCACAAAATATGTATTAACTCACCACCCTTAAAGTTATGTCCATAATGAAGTAAAAATCGATACTCATCCATTATAACATCTGTCATCTCTTCCTGCTCTGCTATTAATTTTCGTAAAAGCTGTCTATCCTCCTCTGTTATTGGTAGGCGTACTTCATTAGGTAGAACCCTATATAATAAAATAGTTTGTTCATAATTCAGCTATTTTATATATTATTGAACCTTTAATATGAGTTATTTTAAATACACAAAAAATGAATTGCAATTTAAGAATGAATAA